CATCTTTTTTTATAGTGCGCCTCTGGTTCCCTAACATAGAGTTAAGAATGCTAGATATTGGCCAAACACGTACGACTTACAATAAAAAACTGCAGAAATGATGTGAGATATGCCGGTGTGATTATGTTCGACCGGGTCTGGAAAACGGTAATCTGAGATGCCTTGCATGGTGAGTTCCTCCTTCTCCCAATCGAGAAATTACAACTGCGAACGCTTCGGCGGATGATAAAGATACTACAAGAGAAACGCAATAGATGCGGCCACTTGGCAAAGCCAAACAAATCGATCAACGGCAAATTGCGGGCCAGTTGGTCTGATTAGAGGTCCGTTATCGTCAGGATGCAACTCATCCAATGAGAAAATCTGGGACAACTAGAAAAGCTTCTCTAAAAGCAACTGATTCTGTGACCTTAAAAATGAATGAATGAGATGAAAGAAATGGAAATAAATTAGGAACAGAAGAAAAGAAAAGAACGGAGGTCGTTCTGATATAGGCATTCGACTCGAATCAAGACACCTGAATATCATTTTAAAAAATCACTGCTTCTCGCATAATAGAGACGACCTGCTTCAAAATGATCAACGGAATCTTGGATAAGATATCAAGATAAACAAAAAACATCACATTAGAAATGGTCAGAAACAATACCTAAAACTATAAACAATCTGCCCGTATTCGCAACTTTTATTTTGGTCTTTGTTTTACAAGCGAAGTGGCATTACGTGTACAGTTTGCACAAACTCTTCTCACAGTCAATATCTTCAAGGGATTTATTTACCTCATAAATATTAACTTTCAACAAAATCTTAACATTCCGGATCGAGCTGGATCCATTTTTGGGGGAGAGTAGTAACAAGAGCAAAAAGAGTAACTGTTTCAATACAATTCAGACAGCAATTTACCTATTGCTGCCCCAACCGAAAGCGGCACCGGACAACGACAACGCGAAACTGTGCGAATGACCAGCACTGAGTTGTCGAAAAGGGATGCCATTGATGCTTTTTACGGCAACCGGATTGTGAACGGACTGTCTGTGGCCGAGACCCAACTGGCCACAGTCGTTTCTACCCCATGAAAATACGGTTCCGTCTAGAAATCACAATAAAAATTATTTATCGGCAACGGATGAACGCAAAACTGCATTTTACCGCTTCCCAATGCCAAATTATGGAATCCCCCGCAACATACTTGCATGATTTTCGTGAGGTTGATCTCGCTGAAAATTAATTATGAGAACTGAATCAGCAAGCAAACAGGTGGCCTACTTTGCACGGACTTGAAGGTCCACGAGGGCTATATCCATATCTACACCGAGCTGTCCATGGAGGTTCGAACCCCACGCTATCAGGTGACCGTCTTCGGTCAGTGCAACGCTGTGCGACAAACCACACGCTATTTGTCGAATATTAAGACCCTGTAGGGCGGAAATGACATCTAAAATTCAGAAAATTTTAGCCTGCATACTCATTTGTGTAGGTGCAGAATTAATTGATAAATAACACATATTTGCATAAGATAGCAAAAAAATTTTTGCCTCATTGAGTTTGCCTCCAGAATTCTAGGAGGATATGAATGAGGAAT